AAACTTGCTTGGTTGTTTCCTTTTGAGAATCCTTTTGAAAACTGGCTTCTTGATTTGCACTTGCACTAAACTAGGAACATAAGAGCACACATGAGCATGACCATATAGGGCACGGTTTGTGAGGGGATCCACATCCACTTGTCTCAAGAATCCAGCCTCTCCAATGATGTTAAGTGTGTGGTGAGTGTCAGTGTATTTATCAAAAACCATGGCGACTTTCTTCTCCTCGTCAATGAAAAAACCCGAAGACGAAAAATAAATCTCCAGCGGCATAACAACTTTGAACAAGTTGCTCCACGACACGTTGTTGGGGTCCGTAACCCATATCTCAATCTCCGAAGGTCGTCCATGCTGTAACAAAAGGGAAAGCTTATCTCCTTTAATAGAAGATAGAATCCCAAGCACGTCAGGATGCTCCTCGGAGGGAAACGGCAAAGGGAGAATGGGGCCAAATCTCTCGCTTGTAAAATCAAAAGAGATCAAGCGATCAGATCCACCGTAGTCAGAGTTCCTCTGTTTAGCAAGCCAGTAAGTGTTTCCATTGAGAGGAACGCCAATATTATAATAACATATATACCAGTTTGGAGTACCCACATCGAGAGTCCTTCATAAATTACAGTCGAAATCGTAGATTTCGTAGTGGCCCTTGTGTCTCATTAATTCGGGTCTTGGTCTTGGGTCATCGGTATGACTGTTATCATCCATAAACCTTAAGATTTTGTGGGAAAAAGAAATCTCATTATCGTACCCAAAAGCGTACGTGTATCTGTCAATTCTATCGCTCTCGCGATAAGAATAACTAGGTGGTTCAATCCACCTTGTTTGGCCCAAATACGGATTCCAAACCAGCAGCCTAAAAGTGTCTCTCAAGACGCATAACAGTAACCCCTCGCAGTGAAAGACTTTGATGATCTCTTGATCTGAATCATAAACTAAGCTTGGGCAATTAAGTTTACCTTTACACTCTGTAGATGAATGATCAACGTCGACGCTGATCAAATGAAGATTGGAATCCATAAMKGCSACCATCCGAGACTCCCCTGCTTCCCTTGCTATGTGCATCTTCCTAAACATGTCACTTTTCCATAAATTGTCCCACCTTTTGCAGGTTAACCGCACTGCTCTCATATCTTTCAGCGGAACTCTACAGACAATCTCGCTTAGCAGATCCACTGGAAGATCAAAGATAGTCGTAGTTGTCATCATAAGAGTCTCTGTAAATACCCTAGAAGAATTCATTGGAGTTTGATTTCTCTCTTCTCTGACCTTTATATAGCCCACTCAGAAAATGATCAATTTCCTTTTTCCTCTTTAATTTGGATTTTTGATTGCTGCTGAGTCCAACCATATATATTTCCTTTCTTACCAAACGTGTATATGATGAAATTCATAATGTTTTTAAAGGAAGCGATTAATGTTATAATTAATTCACTAGTGGACCAAAATATATGGATACATATCAATTGTTTTATTTAACCTAAATTTTTTTTTAGGTGAAGTGTCCGGTTTGCCCCC